TGAAGGGTAAAATCCATGCTGGAACCAATCAACAGACAGCGCCTTCTTTTCTGCACCTAATTGATCTGCTGCCGGTGTTTCCAGAAAAATCCCCAGGATGGAATGTGTGAGTGAGGTGTTCAATTAGTACGGACTCCAGTGTGCAGAGGGGACACCCATGCATTCCACGGCGTCAGCCTTATTAGACACGTCTCACTCTGAAGCCATCGGCTTCTGGGACGGGCGCTGGATTCCAGTTCCAGGGCCTTGCGTGCTGTTGTGCACCCTTGGTGAAGCCACCTCAGGCACCTGTGTCTCTCGGGCACCAGGACAGTGGGTGTCATCGGTGTTTCTCTCAGGCCGGTCTCAGGACCAAGTTTGCATCGAAAGGCCAAGGCTCGGGTAGTGGGGAAAGGTTCTCGTGTGGTAAAACACATAACAACAGTTGCCATCTCAATTACGTTCAGTGGACACTGCTGGACATTTCCCACTCGACAGGGTCTTTCATCAACCAGAGCAGGAAACGCAGTACACACCCCACCCCAGCCCCCGCAGTAGCTGCCCACTCCCCTCTAGCCACATGGTAAACCGCAGTCTATGCATTTGCACACACTCTCTCGATTTCATCTATAAATGGGATCGTACAGTGTTTGTTCTTTTGTTACTGACTTATCTCACTCAGCCCAGGGGTTGGTTTCTAGAGGAACCCTGGGGGCAAAGTGGTTGAAGTGTTGGGGCTGCTGACCCCAGGTCAGCAGTTCAAAACCACTAACTACTCCATAGGAGAAAGATGAGGCTTTCTACTCCCATAAGGACTTAGAGTCTCCACGGGGCAGCTCTCCCCTGCCCCGGAGGGTCACTGTGAGTTTGGTTTCCGTTGTGTCCCAGATTCAGTTCTCTCCGGCAGAGCAGTGTCCCGTTGTGTGTATTTGCCACCGAGGGTGCAGTCACTCATCACTTGATGGGCATTTAGCAGTTTCCACCTTTCGGCTTTGTGACTCGGCTGCAGTGGACATTGGGGTACAAGTGCCTGTTTGTGTGCCTCCTTTTCCTACTTTCAAATCTTTGGGCGTAGACCTGGGAGTGGAGGCCTCTCCAGGGGAATGACTGAGCCAGATGACAATTGAAAAGGGCCCTGGTGACGCTGTCGGGTAAGAACCACCGCAAGGTCATCAGTTCGGACCCAGCGGTCACTCTGCAGGAGAACAGATGAGGCTGTCTGCTCCCATGTGGAATTACAGCCCGGGAACCCTCGGTAGGGTCACCGTGGGTCGGAATGACGCGCTGGGGGTGGCGTTGGCATGGTAATTGGACCGTGGCTGGAACAGTGGGGTCCACCATGATTGTGAGCCTTGCTCCTGACCAGGCAGGTTTCCCTGTGCTGTCAGAACGGATGCTCCAACGAAGGGGATTCTGTTTGACACTGAGAGACCCAGGCACGTTCCACAGGGGCCGCGCCACGTCTTCCATTCCCACCACAGTGCACAAGGGCTCTGGCTTCCTCACCCCTGTCAACCCCTGCAGTTTTCCACTTGTCTGGTGATAGCCATTCTAGGGGCTAGAAAACGTTTATACTCTAGATTTTACTAAGTTGTAAACGTCTGCTCTGGTTGATGTAAGTGCCCCTTGGTGAAAGCCCATCAGAGATGGCGAGTCTGTGCTTGGCAGAGTAAAGGCACGGCAATCCTGTCATTTCTGCTTCCAACTGAAAAATCCCAGCAACCTATGGATCTGGGAAAGCCCAAAATGTTGTGCCCGCCTTTAAGGGGTGGGCATGTGGGGTGGGCTGGAACCCTTCAAGCTCCAGAGCCCCAAGGCCGCCGGGGCTGGGGGCATGTGGGGAGGCCACGAGCTTGGTGGTGCAGGGGTTTATCTGCACTTCTTCACTCTTGGGATCAGATATGAGACCTAAAAGCTTTTAGGTTTTGCCTACTCTCTCTCCACTGTCCTGGGGGATGGAGGGAGGGGTCAGTTTCCAGAGCCATCTGGCCGGACAGGATTTGGACAAGAAGCTGGGAGGAGTGCCCAGACACTTGGGATACATTGTATTCACCTCTTCCTTTTTACATGGGTCCACGCGAGTTGGACGGCCCCCATGACCTGGGGTTTGTCCAGTTTGGGTTTTGTCCTGGCTTCCCCGTCCTGCATGTCCCCAGTGCCCTGGCCAGTAGAAGCACCCTGCCGGGGGACGGGGTGAGAAGGGGGAGGACAACTCTCGAAAAATCAATCGGGACCAGAGGGGCCACTGACAGGTGGCACAGACCCCTCCCTGGGCTGCTGGAGGCAGCTACAGTTGAGGCTGTAGGCGTGTGCCCATGTCCACCTCAGCGGGGAGGGGCATGGTCAGGCAGAGCCTCCTGAGGAAGCAGGCTGCCTCCAGGAATTTAGAAGACTTGGCGAGGAGCCACCTCATCTGCTCACCCAAAGGGGCCACAGGGGATGGGGCCTGCCCTGGGCACTGTCCTCGAACCAGACAGCTGGAGGAGGCTGGGCTTGAGGACAGCCTGGGGTGATGGTGGGGCAGGGGGAGGGATGTCCCCAACCACAAGGACTCAGCCTTGTGAGTCCGTGTATACCTCCCCCCACCCACCACCACCACTTTGAGCTGGGAAGGCAGCGCTTGCCACCTCACCCCCCAGTCCCCTCAGTCTGACTGCCTCCTGGGCTCTGTCCCCATCACTGTTGGGGCCAGCGTGGTCACAGTGCTCTGTGGGCATGGTGCCCCTCACTTGGGCTGCCACACGATACCAGTCCTCAGGTCGGGTCCAAGGTCCGGAAGGGAGTCTCGTGTCACCAGGGCTCAGACTCTGAGAGTGGTCATGGCTATGGGGAGGGACACTGAGGTTCAAGAAGAGAGGGACTGTCTTGGTGTCGTGGCTTTACTGTGGCATCTGCCCAGAACTCAATCTGTGTGCCCTGGATCAGTGTAGGCACCCCCCCTGGCCTCGGGTTCCTCCCCTATGAAATGAAAGTGGCCGAGAGGGCCTCTCTCACATGAACATTGTGTAGAAAGTGCCTAGCTCATGGAAAAGGCATTCAGCCAGCCTGTGGCCTGGTCATTCATCGCCCTGCATGTGCAGGCCAGCCTCTCTGCCCTCCCACCCCCCATGCCCGCTGCGCTAAGGGCGCTCTCAGTAGTTGGTGGGCATGGTGGGTTGGAGTACTGGGCAGCAGCATGGGGCTGCCTTCCTGGCCTGCAGACCTTCCAGCCTGGTGTCAGGAGATGGCACACCAGCCTGGGGAGTTAGACTCGAGGTCGTTGGGCTGTTTTGTGCTGCCTGCTGCTGGGACTAACCGCCTACTGTGGGCTAGTGGTCTCTATGGCTCTGGCTAAGAATCCAGGTCTCTTCATCTCCTCTTCTGACCTTTAGCCATGAACCTTGCCGGGCCGGTTGGAGACCGAGGCAAGCAGATGTGTCCTCCAGCCTGGTGGGAGGATGTGGGTTCCGATGGCTTGGGGACCTGCACTTGGGACCCCACACCAGACAGAGGGCCTGTGCTCAACCTAAAGCTGCCACAGGTGGGGCCCTGTCAGCGGCTCCCTGCGGGCTTCCAGGCAGAGCTGGGCAGGGCTGCCAAGCTCCCAGGTGAAGCTGGGAGAAGTGCTTCTCCCCAGGGTTTGGTTGGGTTTCTGTCAGTCCGCAGCCCTCTGCTTTGTTCTCAGCGGGACTGTAGCAGAGGGGCTCCTGGTAGGGAGGGGAACAGGTTCCCGTCATCCTCCAGGCCACCCTTTCTTGTCCAGTGAGCAGTAGGCCCAGTGAGGGGACAGCACACCTTGGAGAGCGGGCAAACTCGAGCCGCCCCAGCCCTCCCCATGGAGAGCGCTGAGACCCTCAGCTGCTTCCACTCACGGAGGTCGCTGCCATTCTGGTGAAAACCTTCATTTCCTGCCAAGAGAATTGAGCTTCGGGAGCCCTGGGAGACTCAGTGAAACATATCAAGCTGAGGCAGGGACAGTAGGGTGGCTTTATTTGTGCAGAACAAGCCCACCACAGGAATCCCATAATTCCAGGCTGCAAGGGACTCGGGTCCAGCTCTCCTCCCTGTTTCCTAGGCGTGAGTCACCACCCAAGGGGGGTTTATCCCTCAACCAATGTAACCCGAGGAGCTCTGGTGGTGTAACGGTTACACATTGGGCTGTTAACCTCAAGATCAGCAGTTCGAAGTCCCCATCCACTCCATGGGAGACAGATGGGTCTTTCTGCTCCCACGAAGTTACAGACTTGGAAACCCACGGAGACAGTTCTCTGTCCTACAGTGTCGCTAGGAGTGGAAATCGATTCAACGGAAGTGAATTTGGACTTGTTTTAATTTAACTCTGACGTGCTCAGTTGCTGACGGGAAGATTGGCAGTTCGAACCTATCCGGTGGCTCCAGGGGATAAAGCATTGGTGCTCCCCTCCCGTAGAGATGGCAGCCTAGAAAGCTGTGGGGCAGTTCAGCTCTGTCACCTGAGGTCCCTGAGTCAAAGCGACTAACCCTACTCTAGTTAGAGTGACACGGAGACAGCGGGGTTCAGATGCTGTCCCTGCCCCTCAGAAACTGATCTTGGGAAGGCTGCTGGTTCCCAGAGGCTCACCCCCCACCCCCAGAGTATCTGTGAGGGCTAAGTGCTATGAGAATACCAGGAGGCTTCACAGAGTTCGTGGGAATACTCCATGCCCTCACCAGCTTTTTGCAGCCCCCCTCGTGCAGGGTATAGTGCCTGGTGTGTTGCTGAAGCCCAATGTCTGGGTGCATGTCTGTGGAATTCTTGTGCTCAGCGGGGTCAGGCGTGCTTCATCCCTATGCATCCACAGTATCCTGCACACAGTAAGTCCACAGCATTTGTGTGTGCATGAGAAGAGAGAGGGAGGGAGAGAGTGCCTGCCCCCCTGTGCTATAAACCTCCTGAGGACAGCCGGCCACCCTGGAGGTGCTCTTGAGGGCTGAGGTTCAGCCCCCCCATAATTCCCAGGCTGCAGCATCCACTTCTCCACCCCGAGTAACGGCCCTGTGCCCTATGCTTGCCTGTCCTGCAGATGCCAGCATGTCTCCAGATGCCACGAAGCCGAGCCACTGGTGCAGCGTGGCGTACTGGGAGCACCGGACGAGAGTGGGCCGCCTCTACGCGGTGTACGACCAGGCCGTCAGCATCTTCTACGACCTACCTCAGGGCAGCGGCTTCTGCCTGGGCCAGCTCAGCCTGGAGCAGCGCAGCGAGTCCGTACGGCGAACGCGCAGCAAGATCGGCTTCGGCATCCTGCTCAGCAAGGAGCCCGACGGCGTGTGGGCCTACAACCGCGGCGAGCACCCCATCTTCGTCAACTCCCCGACGCTGGATGCTCCCGGTGGCCGTGCCCTTGTGGTGCGCAAGGTGCCGCCAGGCTACTCCATCAAGGTGTTCGACTTTGAGCGCTCGGGCCTGCTCCAGCACGGGCCGGAGCCAGACGCCGCCGACGGCCCCTACGACCCCAACAGTGTCCGCATCAGCTTTGCCAAGGGCTGGGGGCCCTGCTACTCGAGGCAGTTCATCACCTCCTGTCCCTGCTGGCTCGAGATTCTCCTGAACAACCACAGATAGCGGTGGCTGCAGAGGCCGGCGCCCCGTGCGGGGGGGCTCAGGCAGGGCGGCTGCAGCCCACCTGCCTGCCTGCCTGCCTGCCCGTAGCCAGTGGGGTCAGAGCCCAGAGACATTGTTCCGCCGCCGCCGAAACCCCCAAATATCATCTACCTAGATTTAATATAAAGTTTTATATATTATATGGAAATATATATTATACTTGTAATTATGGAGTCATTTTTACAATGTAATTATTTATGTATGGTGCAATGTGTGTATATGGACAAAACAAGAAGATGCACTTTGGCTTATAATTCTTTCAATACAGATATATTTTCTTTCTCTTCCTCTTTCTTCCTCTTTATTTTTTAAGAAAATGATACAGCAGAGCTAGGTGGAAAAGCCTTGGCTTGGTGTATGGTTTTTGAAATATTAATACCCAGCCAAAAAGCTAATACTGGTCACTTGTTGATAATAAAGTATTTGCATTATAGACCTTTTTTTTTTTTTTTTTGTAATGGTCTTCAGTGGATTTCTGATCCATCAAGCACCTGGAAACGACTTGAGTCTTTTCCTGGGTGAAGAATGAGTTGGAAAAGGGAGGAAGGACACAGGGTGTTCATCCTTAAAGCCAGAGAAGTTTCCATGATCCTCCTCTCCTGGCCGTGCTGTGTCCACAGGAAGGGGCAGTGCACAGGGCACCCTTGCTGAGTGAGCAACTCCAGTCTGGTGGGGGAAGCACAAGTCCTACCCCTGTCCCTAGGAGTTCCCAGTCTGATGAAGGCAGGTCCCACCCCAGGGGAGCTCCCTGTCTGATGAGGGAGGCACAGGCCCCCTCATCTGGGAGCTGTGCAGCAAGCTAAACTACTCACCCCTTTGAGGAGCTGGCTGGAGGAAACGACCGGTGATAGGCCTTGGGCCCACCATACCGCCTGTGGAACCCATCAGGGCCCCAGGGTAAGGCTCTGGCCAGGATCCACCCCCAGCTGAGAACCTGCTGCTGGTTCAGTGTCAGGCCAGAACTGTGTGGTGGGATCGCCGTTTCCTCCGGGATGCTATGGGAATGCCACTCAGCGTCGTCCTTCCTAGAGATGCGCATTAGCTTATCACGCGCTGCAAGAAGGCTGTACTACCGTGTCATCAGTGGCTCCAACCTTAGCAGCGTATACAACACGCACATGCTCTCACATGGGCTTTGAGGCGTCCGCGGAGGTGGCCGTCAGCCTGCAGGCCCAGGCTGCAGTGTCGGAGGTCTGCCTGGGCCCAGAGGATGTGCAGCCAAGCCCACCCACTCTCGGGCCTGCTGACAGGAGGCTGCGGCTCTCCACACGCGGGACTCTCGTGCGGGCTGCTTCCCACATGACTTTCCCCTAGAGCAAGTGAGACACGAGAGAGTGAGCAGGGAGGCCGAGACTCGAGCTGCAGCCGTTCAGTGCCTTAGAAGCCACAGGGCACGTTATGCCTTCCCGCCTCCCTGCACCCTCTCATGGGCCCTCACAACCCTCTGCGGTGGCTGGTCAGCGGGGAGAGAAATGGGTGCTTGTGTTAATATTGTGCAACCCCAATGCCCTGGGAGAAGAAGCAACCCCAGGGCCCAGCCAGACAGGGGGCAGCCTTGATCTCACATGCCAGCCAGGAGGTGGGCCCGGACACCCCTGGAATTCACTTGGCTGGAGCAAGCCTAGGTGGCAGGACAAGAGACCCCGGAGGACAGTGTGAGGGTTGAACTGGTGGTGGGAAGGAGTGTAGTAAGTACCCACCGGGAAGCCATCTCACTGTGAGGGCCCTGATTTCCTGGCTTGATCATTTCACCCCTCCTTATGCCAGGCCTGACCAGCCTGCCCTGTCCAGAAGTCCCAGGCAGGCCCCTGACAGCCCCTCAGTGTACAGATGGGGAAACTGAGTTCCAGGGAAGCCTGCCTTATTGAGGTCATCCGTCATCTCCCACCGTGCTCAGCGTCCCTGCGGTTTCTCCAGACCACCCAGGGCCCCAGTGACTCAGGCTCCCAAGGAGACACTTTGTGGAGATCCTTGAGAGTCTGGTCCCGGAGGATGCTGAGGAAGCGCGTGGGTGGGGCTGACTTGCCCTGGGGGGAACTTCCTGCCATTGACGGGGCTCTTGAGGAAAAGGGTTGGCCCATTTATTGTCTCCTGCTGCCCTTTCCACTTCCCAGCCCCATCTCCAGACTCGGTGCTCGGTTTGCAGTGAGGAAGACCGACCTTGGGGGCGGGGGAGGGTCACACAGCAGGCCCGGGGGAGTCGTCTGCTTTGACCCAAGTCTAGCAGAACAGAAGTCTGCCGGCCTGCGCCAGCTTCCCAGCCCCGGGAGCCCATGGTTGCGCCCTCAAAGCCAGCCCTTGGGGCACCTGCTCTGCTTCCCCAAGCCCTGGTGCCCCTCCCTCCACCCTCCCATAAGCCCCTACCCCCGCCTTGTTCTAATCTTGACTAGCGTTTAAGCTGCGGTGTGAAGTAGCCACTCCGAACCTTAGTTCTCTCATCTGGAAAAGTGAAGCCTGAAGCGGCTGTCTCTTGCAGTGGTTGGGCCCCCTGGTGGCCCGTCATAGAGCCAGCCCAAACCATTTGTTCCCAGGTCGACTTGATTCAGGAAGACTGTGTCCTGGCAGAATCGTGCTCCTCCCTAGGGCTGTTGTGCTGACCGTTGGAAGCAGATCACCAGAGTGTGCTTCTGAGGCACCTCTGGGGTGGATGCAAAGCAGCAGCCTTGCCGTTAGCAGCCCTTTGCACTACTCAGGGACCGCTCAGGATAGACAACTGGTGCTTAAACCCAGCAATCTGGCCTTGTCCCCTCTACCTGGCCAATTCCCTTCAAAGGTCCCATGAGGCCTGCTGCCCCTCCCCCGACCCTAGGCCTTTGCCGAAGCTTCCCTTCCTGATTCCCGCCCCCCAGCCTGCTGGCCCTGCCCCAACTCTGACCAAGGGGCAGGCCCCTCTCCTCCCACAGAATCTCCAGGAGGGAGAGAGCAAGGGCCTTGCCCCGCCCAGTGCCAGGCACCAGGGAGGGACTCCTTGCATGTTTGTGGAATGAAGGGGTCGAGGAGGTAATGGCTGTGGGCGGGCTTTATAAACTCTAAAGGGCCAAGCAGGCGTCCAGAGTATGTATTCCTATCATGTGTCTCCATGACAGTCCCCAGATGGCTTCTCCCCACAGGCCCCTAAAAGCCCTCCTGCCTCCCCTTCTCAGGCTCCAGAGGCCAGGGTCTCACAGCTTTATTTTTCCTGTTACGCACGTGGTAGGAAGCATTCCTGCTCTGGAGAGAGGCCTCAGAATGGCCTTCAGGGGCAAGTCAAGCTGTGCAGTCCCCATCATAGGCCTGAGGCCCAGAGAGGGCACAGGAGAGGACCAGGGCCACACAGCAAGGCAGTGGCATTTGGGGGCTAAATCCATGACTGGGGCTCCTTCTAGAACTAGCGCTCTCGATGATGCTACAAAGGCCCCTGAGCACCCAGCCTTGGGCCTGAGCATTGTAACGATGGGCAGGGGACTGCTGTCTAAGAAAGAGGCACCTGCACCCACAGTTGATGTCATCCTGGTGGGAGCCCCTCGCCCAGGGAGGCTGGGCGTCCCCTTGACCCAGCTGGAATGATGGGGCAGGGGTTGAAGAAGGGGAGTCAGAAAGATAAAACAAATTCCAATTGGTGACTCATTTACATCAAGCTCTGGCCCATCACGAGTGACATTTAAATATTTATTGTACCTTACAAACATGATGCTAATTGCCACTTGTTGGTTCTTGTCCATTTTGTTTCCCATAGCAAATTCATGGGAAATATTTATTTGTGAGGTTTCGCTTTCTATTTCTCATAGGTTGAACTATGAACAAACTGGAACTTTCAGAATTCCTGGAAAAAATCACACACAGGACCACCACTGCACACAGGCGTGCAGGCCAAGCTGCCCTCCCATGAACACTGCAGCGGAGACACGGCTATCCCTGGGATTTTGTAGAGGAAAAGACCAGGAAAAAGGCTCTCCCAAAATAGTTTGGCCAAGTTCCTTAGTTGTCTAAAATGGGCAGCATGTTGGTGTTTTCTGCGTATATTAGAAACAGACCCTTTGGAAATAACGACACCCCTCCCCCCACCCCTTCCCTTCCGTCACCTTCTTTCCTTTCCTCTATCAAGGTGTCCTTGACCCTGATGGAGGGCAACGTTGACCTTTTAAGGAGATAATGCCAGTGAGCATCACATCCTAGCATGTCCAGAGATGCTCAGGCCTCTGCTGGCTCCTGGGTTTGCCTCACCTACAGGGTTTAGAGGTCTGAGAGCTGACCCTGGAGGGCCATGTGGCCCAGTGTGGCCCAGTGTGGCCCACTGCCAGCTTCCTTGCCATGTCCCAGCCGTGGTGAAGGGCATCCCCGCCACAGCTGGCAGGAGAAAGCGAGCATCGGGCCACACTGGGTTTTGCCCTGAGCATGTGGGTCCCTCTGTGTGGAGGGCCTTGCCTGTCTGAGTGGGGGCCCCGCTACCCCTGGCTGACATCACCAGACCTCTTCTGTGAGGCTCTAGGTCTTGGGGGTCAGCTTCCATGTAGCCAGGACAAATCCAAGGTTCTTGGGATGTGCCTGTTCTCGAATTTTCCATGGTGGAGGAAAAAAGAAAGCCTAAGAAATGGAAGTTCACAGAGCCTCTGAAACCCGCCCCTGAACCCCGTCTTTATGTCTGAGCTGCTGTGAGTGAGGGTGGGGACTTCTCTGGAGAAGAGCTCAGGCCTGCGCTGGACTCCCCCTTTCTCTCGTCTGGGCACTTCTGTTTCTCTTCAGCTTTAGTTTTAAGGCAGTGGTTCTCAACCTGGGGGTCGGACGACCCTTTCACAGGGGTTCCGAAGATCATATTTCTGATGGTCTTAGGAAGCGAGACAGGGCACCTCTATCCGTCTCCAGGTGGGTCCGCCCACGTGCAGATATGCCCACCTACGGGGTCACCACACATGAGGAACTGTATTAAAGGGTCGCAGCTTTAGGAAGGTTGAGAACCACTGTCTTATGTAGACAGGGTGGTTCCCTCAACCAACAAGGATTGAATGAGAAGGTATACACAGCTGCTTCATGTATTTGCAGACTGATAAATAGTTACTAATTGCCAGTTACCTGACCCATGGCTACAACCAGCCACACCTTAGTCACCAAAGAGACACTGCTGTTTGCTAAAAGGTCTTTTGTAGAATTGCTCGATGCAATACAGTACTTGATTTCTTGACTCCTATACTTGTGGGTGGCGCCGTGGCTTAGTTGGTTAAAGCGCCTGTCTAGTAAACAGGAGATCCTGGGTTCAAATCCCAGCGGTGCCTGGACCTGAGGAGCTTGATATTTTCTGGAGAAAGATGAGCCTAGATGCTCCCATAAAGGGTCAGGATGGGTTGGATTGGATAGCAGTAGCAGTGAGTGTTTGGCATGGGGTTCTTTGATTTTTACCCCATGGGATATTGATTGCTGGTCCAGGTAGGATGAAATCCTGGGCCTCATTCATTTCTT